AGGATCTTTGCATAATATATATGTATATATATAATATATATATATATATATATATATATAAATATAAATATATATATATATATAAATATATATATATATATATATATATATATATATAAGGCATGTAGTATATACATAAAAAATAAGTGCATTTGCATTAATGCGCAAGCAAGCTGTGGAAAAGACGCCTCATCGCGAGGGTTGTAGTAGTTGCAGCAGAGGCGCCACAACAAATGCAATGGGGGGTTACGCAGGCCTCATAGAAGAGGCTGCTCTTTGCTGCTTCGAATGCATGCGCAGTTGCATGCGCACATGCATGCGCACATACACACACAGATGTCTTCGAGGGGCAAACAAGAAATCCAGGATGTTTCTAGGAGTATTGCCGGAGGATATGCAGCAGATCAAAGCAGCAGGCAAGCACACAGCATGCGTCCCACTCGCTTCGTTTGCTGCTGCCGCTTGGCTTGCCAAAGGCATCCAGAAGGTGCCACACCACTCCCCCCATCCGTATCCAAAGGCCTACGTAAACACACCAGCAAAAGCAGCAGTAGGAGCAGCAGGGGTTTTGCTGCTGCATCTGAACGGCGCAAATGCAACTCTGTGCTGCCTCCATGAAGGTCAACACGTTTCTGCACCAGGGGCAAAAACTCTCTTTCTTGCTCTAGCTACTGCTGCTGCCGCGGGTGCTGTGTTGATACCTTGCAAATAGAAATGTATTCGCTTCGTGCATGCTGGTGCCAATATGCGCCCAGCCTTTGCTCATGCGAATCTGTGCGCATGCACACAATCCCTGTTTAACACGGTCCTTTGTGCAATGTTCCTTGATATATATATGTATATACATACATATATAAGTGTCGAATCACATATATGTATAAAGGTTTATATATGTAGATGAATACATATGTACATGTATATGCATATGTATATGTACATGAATATGTATGCGATATTTTGCGCTCGTATGTCTATGCTGCTGCGTTCCTCTCTGTAGAGAGAGATGAAGGAACTGGAGCAGAAGAGCGAGCGACAGCGGCAGCAGCAGCAGGAAGCACGTCTGCAGAGATGTAGTAGGGCACCTCAGGGATGACTTAGCAAGCTCATTCAATCCTGAGGGGCCTACAGTGGCTTTCACCTAGCTAGCTACACATCACGGAGGTGCGCTGAACCGCTGCGTTCGGCCCCGACAGTGTGGCTAGTCCACACTGTAGTTCGCTAGCTAGCTAGCTGCATGTCCTAGCTGTTTGGAATCCGGAATCCTAGGCAGTTTGGGGCTGTTGAGGCTCCTAAGGACTTGCAGGCCTCTTCGCTACCTCCTAAGCTTCCTTGGGGGCAAGAAAGGCAGCTAGCGGCATGTTTGGCAATCAGCAGCTGTCGCGGCTGCACAAACTCACCCCCAGACTTCGCCAGGCCGCCTCAGGAAGCTGGAGGGAGCGCTCAAAAAGCATTCCCACGGCAGCAGCAGCAACGGGTGCTTCTTCTACTGCTGCTTCTGCTTGCGCTGCTGCTGCAGCTGCTGCCGCTTCTCTCACTGCTGCGGCTACCCTTTCGGACTCAACAGCCGCAAGAGACCCCTCAAGAGCAGCACCTGTTGCTGCTGCTCTTGCGGTAGCTGCTGCTGCTGCTGCCTCTGAGGCTGCTGCTGCACGGTCTGCCGCAACAGCCGCAGCACAGGCCTCCGCAGCTGCTGCAACCAAGGAGGTATCCGAAGATAACCTCTCAGCGACAGCAGGGGAGAGGGGTGTGCTAGGAGAGCTCGTGGAAGAAGGAAGCATCAATGTCTCCTCCAGGAAGCTCAGCTGCTCCCCTGCCACAGCGGCAGCCGCAACGACAAAGTGGGCAGCCGCAGGTGCAGCAGCAAAATTCAGCAGGATCGGCTGGGGTAGCTGTAAAAACGGATGGTCTAGGGGCAGAGAGACTACTCTGAGAAGCAAGCAGCAACGACCCGGAGGTGAACTCGGTGGAGAAAAAGTCTCTGAGCGTGAGCTTCAAAACACGAAGTGCCTTTTGCTGCGTCTTCAGACTCTATGTGTGGCGAGTGCCTCCCTCCCCTCCTAACTGAGCAACACCCTGGACTGCGGGGGGGGGGGGGAAGGGGGGGAAGAAAGGGGAAAGAAGGGGAGAGAAAGAGGGGAATTCGAGGAAAGCTTGCCTGTATTCGAAGGCGTTGTCTGTGTACTTGGGAGAGTAGTTGATTCTGTAGAGATGACGATCTTCCAGACAATTCGCCATCGCCGATAGCACCTGCAGAAAGCGTTGAGCTTGTGTTTGCAACTCCCCGTGTGCATCATTTTGGGCTTAAAGGCTTGGTGGACGCATGCAATAGAGCCTAGAAGCGTGTTTTTTGCGGCGTGGAGGGGTGCCCTTCAAGGCGGGCTGTGCATTTCGTGAGTTTCGCTTGCTTGCCTACGATCGTGCAACCCGCGGAGCCGCTGGCTGCAGCACTGCGCACTTACGTATTTGGTAGCTCTGTCTCTGAGCTGCTGCTTGAGCAAGCAGTTCTCAATTTGCAGCAAGGGACTGGGGGAAGAATGAGGGGCGAAGGAATCGTCTGTATGCGCGCGCATCCGAGTCTTGAAAAGAGGCCAAAGGGACTCATTGGGCGACACAGGGGCTGCTTGTGCTGCAGCGGCAGACGCAAGAGCAGCTGCAGCAGCAGTAGCCGTAGTTGTTGCTGTCAAGTTACACACCCTGCTGGGGAGGGCTGCAGAATCCGAGGCTGCAACAAAGGGGCCTGCTCTCCTGCCTGCTGTTGCTGTTGTTGTTGCTGCTGACTCCGAGGTTTCTCGGATGCCGCTGTTTGTATCCCTGCAGCACAAGAATGAAGACTGAAGAAAGTCTGTGCTGACGTTGGTGCTGGAACTGCTGCTGTCGCTGCTGCTGTCGCTGCACATGGCAGTCCGTTCGCCGCTTGCTGCAGTGCTGCAGGCCACCCCTGGGGGGGCACAGGAGCAGCAGGAGTCTCTGCTGTGAGTGGCAGCTGGGTTGCTGCCGCTGCTGACAAGACAGCCAAGGCGAGGTGCTGCGTCTTCTGCTTCCAGGCAGCCTTTGCCGTGGCACCCTCCCATGTTGCTTTGCAACCGGGTTCTTCTTTTTGTTTGAGAATATTGGGACTCTTTAAATTTAGTGCTGCGCCCTTCTCGCGTTGTGCAGATTTGCGTGTCCTCTCATGGAGAGGATGGGTGTAATAATGTATAAACGGAGGGTTTATTTTGGCAGTGGAGGGCTTCAGCAGACACAATGGAAATAGCCACAGGGAACCCCCTGAGCCTTTCGCAGGCTAGACGAAAACGCACAAAGACAATACAATCAAGAAATGCCAAGAAACACAACCATGAGCATCCGTTTCATCCAAATAGACAGCAACGATGAGACAGCTCAAAAACATACACCCCACACGGGCAGCCACCCTGCTGCTCTCACGACCGCCACAAAGACCGGAAACCACGTTGCTGCTATTTTTTCACTCGCCAAACAATAGACAAGAACCAAAAAACACGCAATTATAAACACAAAAGACGAGGAAAACACAAGTGGAGGGAGGGCAGGCAGGGGCTGTGCGATGCGAAGGTCACCGCTGCAACAGTGGGCGATCCAGTGGTTACATGCAGTTACAACGACCATCCCCTCCAAAACAACCTACAAAGCACTCTTTTTGCCTGGACTGCGTATTTTTAGCTTTTTATTCGTACCGAGTCCAAATATTTCAGAAACCCTGTAGCACGCCTATCCGTGCAGGTGTTTTTACTGCTCGCTCGTGTTCGCATATTCTCTACACACCAACATATAACACCCGCTGAGACCAATTCTGCACGTACCCCCGCCTTCTCTTCTTAAAGCAATCGTGTTTCCAAGTTGTCCTGCAAACTACTCATCTCTGCCTGGTCTAGTACTTCAGCAGTCACTGCGTACGTGTGTTTCTTAGCCCTAGAGGCGTGAAACGATTAAATTTAGGCCTCCTTAAGGGGTCACTTTATGCCAGACTCAGAGAGCTATTGGGCGTTTTCAGGAGAACTCCTGCTCGCCTTGACCGCTTCCCTCAGAGCTCTCGGCATAACGGGAGAGGGAAACGACGGGTACGCGAGGCCGCAACCTCTGAGCACTCCGAGCATTCGGACTGAGTTGCCCATAGCATCTAGCGTACAGGCGTGCAACATTTTGCCTTGTCACATCACGCTAGCAGTGAGGTTCAGCTCATAATTACGCAAACAAAGAAATCAATTATTCATTTCCTGACTAACTCATTTAAATAGGCAACGGAGGAGAAAGCGGTTCAGTGTAAATTGCCCCACTACACCGGCAGTCGGAGCTGACCATACACTTAAACAGCCACTGCCTTTCAAGTTACATTGGTGCCGATATAGGATATCGATGTTGGTAGGCACACACGCTTTTGCTCAGAAAGCGAAGGGCTGACTTTTCTGTGTTCGGTACTGCTAGTCCATCGTACACCGCTACGTATGAGACAGCGCAGGTGTAGCAAACAAGAGGTTACTCCTTGGGCTCTTTCTCCGCTGTTATGTATCTTTAGGGTTTGACAAAAGTTAATTGACTGATTTGGCTGTTCGCATTTTGCTCTTTGAGAGGCGTAGACTTGGGGAGCTCAATGCTAGAGGGACTCAAGCTGTGTTCCTGCCCTTAAATTTAAAGTGCTAAACCGGCTGCGAAGGCTTGACGCACTCAGAAAGTGCGCAACGCTTACGATGCCTACCAACAACCCCTCATACGGGTGCGCTGTGGGGTTAGGGCACGGAGAAGGGAGGAGGAAGATTTTATGAGAGCATAGAGAATAACTTTCTTTATCTGAGGTTTGCAATTAAGTTGACCCAACGTGCTTTCCTTCAGAGACTCTAAGTAATTTTTCGCGCAAGAGACGAGCAGCCAAAAATGCTTCTCTGACCCCTGAAAGCCATCCTTTCAGGGGGCTCACTGTCTGTGCCCCTTGCCTTGCCGCTAATGCTCTGCACTTTTAGCATGAGGCTGGAGGCATTTTTTTATGCGCAGGCCGGGTAAATGTGATTTACCACTCACGGGGCCTCTCCCCTTGAACCTTTTGACTTCGAAGCGCCTCAGGGATTTTGGTGTCTTGCCACTAACATGCGGCCGGGTAAAAGACGCCACTTAGGTGTGCATGCAGCATTGTAAACAGACTAGCATAAGGCGCTTAGTGAGAAGAAGGGACTTCACAGGCTCAACAGTTGGTGAAACTGCCCCTTCACAAGTGGAGCTGCATCGAGTAGGGCACGGATTCAGGCGCTATCCGTAATGCTCATTGCCGTTGTCTCGCCTTCTTTCCAAGCTGCATACTTCCCTCTAGCTCTGCATTTGACTACGTGACGATAGCGCTATAATCCTTCAATCAGCTACAAAGCTTGAGCTACCAAGAAACAATGCATATGATCCGGTACATGGGGGTGCTGCCCTGGTTCTACGCCCGGAGAAAGAGCTTTAAAATGCATAAAAGGCCCAATGTCTTGCCTCGAGAGTTTTGTTCCATCTGCTCACCATGTCTTTGTCGACACGCTTTCCCCCAACCCTCCCAGCCACTATCCTGTTTCGCCTCCAGCACCAGGCAGCGCTGTCTCTGTAAGGCTAGCGTTGCTTCCAGGCAGCAATATCTAGGAGGCCTCTTCATTCTAGTAGAGACGACTGTCTAGTGAAGCCGTATTTTCAGAGCGTCCCCTAGCTGGTTGGCTCGGCTACTTTTCTCGGTTTTCTGTGGTGTACGCACGATGTATGCAATTTAACTAGCGTTGATTTGCTTAGATGGGTTCATCAAGACTAGAAAGCACAAAAGATGGGTAGTTCGTAGGTCTACTGGTGCGCGGCCCTTAATTATAAATCTCTAGTAGAACACGATCCGCAGCCTGATGCTTGCGGGATTGAATGGTGCTTGGAGGGGCTACCCGCACAAGGCTGATAGACAAAACCATATTCTTTACAGCAGCACTTTGACAAGCCGAGGCATGCTGCAGGCACTGGTGCAGGAGAGATATAACACGGCCACGCATTCCCTACATGTCGCTATTGCAACGTCGCGGCGGCGTGCTGTCTGGCTCCATATTCTGCTCTGCCCTTGTGTGGCCGCTACCTGAAGCAGTCTCATTAGGGGCATCTCTAGCTGTCTCCTAGCAGACGCGCTTGGCATCAGGGCCCTTTTGAGACTCTGCAGCCTCCCTACCCTGCACACGCCCTCCAGGAGGCGGGTATGGGTGGGGTTGGTCGATCTCCATATCTAGCCCAAAAGCCTTATGTGACAGCACATGTGCAATAAGGAAAACGCGAAAGCTGAAGAGAAAAGAAATGCGTAGTTCACTGCCGCAACAGACTCAAGATACCCTGGCCGACACTGCCTACGCTCTCTCCCTCGTAGTGCTCCCTGCCGGTCCCTTGACGCAGGTGCACCAGCAACAGCATGACTTGTGTGTATTTACCAGGAGCAGTTAGCTCTAAAAAGCCGATTCGTTTGTAAAATACGAAAGGGGAAGTTAACAGTCGTCTGCCTCAGCGTGACGGTAGACGCCTGCAGTTGCTGCAGTGTGCATGCGCCAGAGACATGGGAAGGGAAGTCTAAACTCGGGGGACTGCAGTGGCAGCAGGCCTCGCCTTCTTTTCACACAGGGAATAAGACTCAAATTTCGCCGGAGAGGCTCACAGGAGAACATGTATATATACCAAGCCTCGCACACCGCCATCAGCAACGATACGAAGGCGGGGTGTCACGCCTTCTACCTCAAGTGTATATGCACTGACGCCCAGCGGAAGCAGAACTTGCTGCAGCAGCATTGACTGCGCGCATTTCACCTATGGATTGTTGTCTCCTGCATGGCATTAGAGTACCCTATAGCAGCAACCGTTGATACTTGCGTCCATCAACAGCAGCAGCAGCGGTAGTATTGAATCCATGAGGGAACACACTCTTTGGTGCTGCCGAATACCAAGGGTTTAGCACTGCTACAAACGGAAGCAGCAGCAGCAGCAGCACATCGCACCCAACTGCGGAGTCTGTGAAAAGGTCACTGTAATTTCAGGAAGGGTCTTGTCAGCGATCGGAGTACCAGCACCTACACCATCAGCTCTAGCCACTGCACTGGCTGTGCAAAAGGCCTCTTTCTCGCTGGAGCAGCAGTAGCTGTGGAGGGGGACTAGCAGCATTTGCACCTGGATTTTGTGCGTGGGCGCATCGCTTTTACATGGGCAGCTGGCCGTGCGGGTGTGGCAGCAGGCTTCGAAATTCCGTTTCTAAATAAATATATATATATGTATTATAAATTTATGTAGAAACGGGGGGAGGTTATCCAGAGTTGCTGCGCTGTCTGTAGGGCTGAAGGAGTGACTGGTTTGTCTGCTGTTAGAAGTGGCGCAGCAGCTGCTGCCTCTTGGGCCGCAGTATAATTTGCACCTGGTGAAGCTGCTGCAACAAGAGTCTCTGTGCCTGCCTTTTCTCCTCCTTTTCCCCGTAATGCTGCCGCTGCTGCGGAGGTTCGTGCAGAGCAAGCACTACTTTCCGTGCCGTCATTTGCAGGCAGTAACCACGGCCTAAAAAAGACGGATAGCGGCACGCTGAGCCTTGTTTCTTGGCGCTCACCTCGTTTACCTGGAGGGAGGTATGCGTATTTACGTTCAACAGTCCGTCTGCGTTTGGCATCAGCTGCAGTGGCACCGGGTGCAGGATGGAGGAGTCTCCTCCGAAGCCGTGGCAGCAACAGCTGCAGAGGCCGCTAGCTCTGCCCTTTACCATGAGCAGTAGCAGTGGTGCTGACAGTCTCTCTCTGGCCCCTACTACGCAGCCAGTAGTAGCACCTGCCCAGCCTGACGGCAGAAGCAACACAGGGGTTGCGTTGTATGAGCAGCAGGCATTAGCTGGATCCGAAGGATCTGTCTTTGCAAGTGGCTTTGGCGCCGGTGGATATGGGGGCCCCCTTGGGGGGTACTATTCGGGTGGCTCTGGGTATTACGGGGGCCCCTATGGGGGCTACGGCGGGTGGAGCTACGCAGGCTATGGCGGTGAGCAGACTGCACAAATCTGTTGCAGGAAAAGCAGACTGCACAAATCTGTTGCACGAAAAGCAGACTGCACAAATCTGTTGCAGGAAAAGCAGCTGCTGCTTCGCTCCTTGATGCTGCCGCTGCGGTGCTCATCGGTCCGCCTTGGACTCTGCCAAACTGCTAGATTCCCGCAGAAGCGTTGCATGCAGGCACACCATAGCAGCAGCAGCCCCTGCAAGAAGACACCTGGCAACAAGAGCTTCCCGCCTTACCTTACCTTCCGTGTGCGCATATGTCTTCAGGCCCCTCCTACCTGAGCAGCACAATGGAGAGTCTGGCTCGGGTGTCTGCGCTTCTGCACGCCCAGGGTTTCTTTCTTGATCATATCTACTCGCACACGTCTCGGCTGCAACAGCGTGTGGTGTCTCTGCGCATGTGCATGCGCTCGCTCTCGGGTGCTGCTGCAGCTGCCGCTACAGCGACACGCGGGAGAATTGCCGAATACTTGCGTGGTGTCTATGTGAAAGCCCGCGAAGGCGCTGCTGCCGCTGCTACCACGGCTGTCGCCGTCGCTGTCGCTGCTCCCGATGTGCTTGCTCGGCAGCAGCAACAGCTTCTGCAGCAGTTGCTGTCGGAAGTGTGCCTCCCAGAGGATGAGTGCAGCACAGCCGACACCAGCAGCAATGGCAGCCAGAGCACCACTGAGGATGAGGACGAGCTCCAGCAAGGCGGCTGTGATGCAGAGGCGCGTTCTATTCGAGAGGCACTCGTGCAGCTTGTTAAAAGAATCAGGTGCGATCTTTGGCATCATGACAGAGGTATTATATGAAACAGCAGTAAGGACCTGCCGTTGCGCAAGTGACTTTGCCGTGGCTTTGTGATTTCTATTGCTGCAGGCGGCTTTCGCTGTTGTTTCTAATTTTGCTGGCTCTCAATTTAATGCTCTTCGCCAGAAGGCGGAGGCGGAGCAGAGGCGAATGAACTGCTCAGTAGTGATGGCTCCTCGGAGCCATCACTGGGAACATCGGCATCCAGCAGCCTCTTCGGATTCAGATAGTTAGGCTGTCTGCTTGCACTCGTTTAAAGTCTTTAACCGGAGGCGTGGGGGTCAAGGGGCCTTGCGAAGGCCTGCTGTGTCACCTCTTGCCGCACATTTTGATCGAGATGTTCCCCATAGCCGCGAGCTAGCGAGCTAGCTAGCAAGTTCGCTAGTTGGATCCTTCTGAAGTCTTTAAATCTCTGGTTACATTGTATCTGGCTACATTGAAAAGGTTGGGTGGTTGCTTGTTGTGTGGACATCTGAGGTACCTCGGCAGCTGTGAGCCAGAGGGGACAGCGCAATCAGAGAGCCCATAACCCTCACGTGCACGTATCATCTGACGGCTTAGGCAAGCGTGGCTAGCAACTCGTAGCGTCAAATGGAACGCAGCTTCTCTTTAAGGTGGAAACTGTGTCAATATGGACAGTAGATAGTCATTGGACACTTGCGCATATGCGGCGCATGGAATAGTGCTATCCGTCAGCATACCTTTCCGTAGACACGCACCCACGGACAAACGGTATTGATAAAATACAAGTGTTCTCTCATATGTGGTTAGGGGCTTTTACAATCAAACATTTCGGACCGTTGCTGTCTAGCTAGAGTATATACATATACATATATACGTATGTACAACTGTATGCACTGTAGCTTGACAGCAGGGGGCCAGTAACGACGTCTCTGTAGCTCTCTTTTGCTTCAGACACGACACAGGCACCCTTTACCCGTGTTTGCGCCTCCCTGCCCTTAACAGGGCCCGTCTAAGGGTCTCCCGTAGCCAGTTCGGGGTATGTCAATGGCCCAAGGAGGTTGAACAAGGGTCGGTGGGAAGTACCCTGCGGAGGGGCCCTCAGTCTTCTTCCTGTGCCGTAGCAGCACAGCACCAAAGCTCCAACTTTGCAGACATTACCGAAAAATATCTGTAGGGCTATTCCCTGCCACATCCTCTGCTTCGTAAGGTCGTACATGTGTGTGTATGTATGTATATGTGTGCGCTTCTGCATCCCTCCGTGGCAGTCTACTTTGCCCGGCAGTCTCTGCCTTGCATGCTCTGATCACTTGCGCTACAGTTTTTGCATCCAGGCTGTTTGTCATATGAGAGACCGAAAGCCGGCAAGGGAGGCAGCTAAATGCTGGAGGGGCTCAAGAGACAAACTTCGTCCGAAGCAAGAAGAGGCACAGGTGAAGAGGGCCGAAACAGAGTGTGGCTAAAGACTTATTTTGTGCCAACTAGCTACTTGCTTAGCACAAATATCTCTTTGCCCCTTTACATATAACTGTCCTAGCTGGCTCGCTTCCTCCTCCTACTTGGCATTCTTCGTGAGATATGGAATTCCATTGATATTTGCCGCAAAATCGCCAAAAGAGTCTCTAGTGGGGTCCTTGGCCCTTGCAGCAATCGCCAGAGCTTCTGGACTGTCTCTAAACAGAACTTGGTGCCTCACTGTAGGCACGTGGCCCCCATATCCGGAAGGGAAGTCGCTCTTGACGCACACCTCCAGCTACAGAGACACACGAACGCTGTGATTCAGGGGTGTATGCATCTCAAATGCATACGCGGAAAATAGGACCTGACAGCTAGCAAGCCGCTTGTCCCAATAAGGAAATACGCAGTGGGTAGGTACGATGTTCGTGAGTATGTATCGAGGCAGGCGTTTGTACTAGTGCGCAAACGAAACATATGACGCTTCGTGTCTAGAGTCATTGCTGTCCAAATACAAGTGCAACAACAATAGCCGCTGTGTCACCGGAGCCGAGACATAACGGGTGTGCGATCTTTCCCTCCTAACCAGTTGAGGACCTATGGCAATAGATATTGTGCAACTTCGCATATATGAAGGGTGCTGCCATGTTTAGCTGTAGTCGCGAGCGCGCGCATTTGCCGGTGGGCGTACAGGGGGGACTTTTCAATGTGCAAAACTTCGGCGCGGCACTGCGGCTCCAATCTAATTTGCCCGCTTGACTTTTGGTATGCTTCTGCCCTGATGTACCTGTCTGGATGAACCTCTATGTGCATCTGCCGCCGTAGTTAGCTGCCTTCATGGCCATGTGCTGCCCATATGTGCCACAGAGAATGTTTTGTGGCGCTGTCTAGAGGTGTAATAATCTTGAGGGGTAAAGTGGTGATACGCATGCGTGGGAGCCTGGCCCTATCCCTCTGCCGTACTTAAGAAGGTATTTATACCCAAAATTTCCACACATATGTACGTGTACGTGCCACTCTCCCGACACCACTTCTTCAATGAATTCGACTTGTAAGCGAGCACAAAATTTCTTTGGCGTGTTGTATATTTGAACAGTATAGTCTAAGCCGCAGCATAGCCCCATACTTAAGGTGTTTAAAGCAGTGCCAGTTTTAGGCTAGTGCACCATTCTGTATTGCCTCTACATGAAGCAGGCGCTCTTACCCCTTTGCACATATCGTTATAGCTCGTCCTGTACATATTTGGGTCTTTCTGCCGGCCTTGTTTATCGAGCATTCCATAGCCTCCCGGTACAGACAGCTCCATTTGCGAAAGAGCAAAACAAGGAGAGGGAGGAGGAACGAAACAGAATGGAGGTCCTACGGTTGACGTACCCAGCCATTAAGAGCTACCAAAGGAGAGAGAAAAATATACCTTTCACAAGCAGGGCCAATCAAGGAACCCCCAAGTAGCGCGCTCTCTAGAAATTATTTTTAAAACGCTGTTGACTTGGGGGCTGGCAACCGAGCGCAGACGGGCTGCACTCAGGTTTTTTGTAGGAACGCATGTATTGCTTCACTTTGGAAAGGTTGCTAACAGGAATCACAGAAAACTCCAATTTTGGCTCAGTTGTACGATGTAATTCTAGCGTGCTTCTCACCTTATTTCTGTTCGTTTTCTGCCCTTTCTCCGCATGCCCCCAGAGGAGTCAAGGGTCACTCCGTCGTTTACTCGCTCTCCCCATTTCAATGCTCAGATACAGGACAAATAAGCTTAAGAAAACAGTTTTTTGTCTAGTTGCCTGTTTGGTCTATCATTCACCAGGATGCCACCACCATCTGACAGGAAAAATTAGGGCAGGAGCTCGAGGCATAACAAATTGTCCCACGTTCCCCTACGATAGCAGTCATGAGATTCAAGGTGCGATTGACTTACTATACTACGTTGGCTTTGTGCAAATTGGCAATCAAGTGTGCCGGAAGTGCTGGCAGCACAACTCCGCGGGGTACGCATTTGCATGCTTAAATCTCTCCAATCTGCAGAAGCAGTATTTTAGGATAAAATTATTGCGGAATATAAAGCTTCCGCCCGCAGGACTTCGAACAGTAGGTTCTCCCTGCGCGAGCTTCACTGGGATAAAAGGCGTCGGGATAGACTTGTTGCTTTGCAGCTAGCCATGCATTGTCTATTTCAAGCCACTAGCCGCATGAAACTTAAGGAAACCTCAAAATAGTGAAAGCTGAAAGAAGGAGAAGCTTCTCTTCCGTACTTGGAGCGCACTGACCTTCCTAGCTGCGTCGTGCTTCATACATATGCCTGGCTTTGTTTGGCTTCACCCGTTTGCGAGAAGAAGAGCGCTTGCTTTTTCGTGGAAGCTGTGCTGCCGCTGCTAAATTTTATATGTTAAGGACTTACACTGGTTGTACGGTACACGAGTGCAAATCCTGGCCCAGCTGTTTCAACTGCCGCTTGTACCTTCCTGTGAAAGCACTTCAGGTGCTGTGGCTTCTGACAAGCTTGCAGCGAAAAACGACGCTCGGTGTTGCAAGGGGGCTAGAGTCTCCAAGGAAATATGCTCAAATATACTCACATGCACATACGCATATGCGAGGAAGACGACGCAGCAGCGCTGGATCTTCTACTAAAGACGACGAATGAACGATTGGGCAGACTCGAACAACAGTCTTTGGACTAATACACAGCAAATGCACCTGGCGGGGTTCAGACTCTTGCTGTTGCTGCTGCTGTAAGTGCTGCTCAGTAACTTCTTGCCTTGCACACTGCCATCTGTGCAATCTTTCGGCGTATTCTCTGTGTATGATTAGTGCATGGCTGTTCCTGTGACCCTACCGTAGCTGCCTGTCGCACCTCGTGCCATGCCTTCCACGATTGTTGCTACTGCCGTCCCCCTTACGGAGCACTCACCGCAGTTGATTTCTGTGCACTAGCTGCACAAACTTTCGTTATTTGAGCTATACTCCAAAGATGAATAGAGTTGGACCGCTCCTCAACGCATGTGCCGTGAGAGAATGGGCGCGAAGGCATATGTTAGTCTCTAAATCTGGAGTATTTGCTTTTCCCCGCTAAAGCACTGTATGTGCCACCAGGACGAAAGCCTACTGGCTGCACCATTGACGTAGTAGCGTATGAAGAACACTTTTATGCTCTCCGGCGTCTCTTTAAAAAAGGGTCTATCAGCATGTTTAACCCGCTGGCTCATATGAGCGGTTTTGACGACAGCAATGCCTAGCTAGCGTTGGTGCAGCAGCTGCTGCTTGTGCACAGTAGCAAGACCATGTGTATGCCCAGGCCCAATCATTCTTGTACCACATATCTGCCTTAAAAAGATGCATCAGAGTCCTGAGTGTGGTGCCCGAAGGATATTACCTTTCTGGCTTGTCGAAAGTTGACATCTGATGGTGGTGGCCTGCTTTCGTCCGCAGCGAGCAACGGAGGAACTTTAATTCTTATAAAGTATATTCCAGGCGGGGAGAACATGCTAGTCATGCTGCTAGCGAAGAAATGATAGTAGTTATTGAGAGGGACGGGGGAGAAACAAAAGCTGGAAAGGGAGGGAAATAGCAGAGGCGAGGAAAAAGTCCCACGTCGATGATAGAGTGAAAGCCACACACACACACACATGCATACTTCCAGGATACCTAAACACAAAAGTTTCTCACGCTTTGCAATGATGTATTTTTGAGGGCTGCTAGCCACCTGCCACGACCCTGGGGAGTCGCTTCCTATGTTTGTAGCTG